TCTCTCCAGACCCTGGATGACAAGCCCAGGAAAAATGAAAAGTGGATCCTTGTTCCTCCTGGACCCATTCCCTCTCTTAGAGCTATTTTACAAAAGACACTCTTTAATCTTAGAATAGTTGGGGATTTACAGAGAAGTGACAATGTTATGGCAGAGTCCCTGTGGACTCCACACTCAGTTGTTCTGTCGTTAACCCCAATCTCACTGTCGTGCATTTGTCACAGCTAATGACACAATATTCACACATTACTACTGATCTTCACAAGGGATCTGCTTTCATGGTTTTTTTTCTCTCCCAAAATCCCATCCAAGTTACCTCTTGAATCCCATCATGCCTTCATTGGGCTCCTCTGGCTGTGACCATGTCTCAGACTGTCCCTGTTTCTCATGATCCTGACATGTTTGAGGAGATGGTTCGGGTACTTTGTAGACTGTCTCTCATTGTGAATCAGGCTGACTGAGGCTGTGGGGTTTGGGAAGACCACACCTGGGCGGGTGGTTCTCCACACAACATAGCAAGAACATACAGTGATCACTCGCTCATCACGGATGAAATGCAACTTCACCCCCTGGCTCAGGTCGTCTAACCCAGATGCTCCCTGTGAAGTCCCTTCTTTTACTTTGTCCCCTTCCATAACGTAGTTTTTGGAAGGAAGTCAGGATGTGCAGCCCACCAGTAAGGGCTGTTCCGCTGGGACAATTTGCATGCAGGTTGTTGTGCAAACATGAGCTCTCAAATGACTAGGGTAAGTACCTTACAGGGGGATCAGCAGCTTGTGTGCTTAGTCTGTGTCTGACTTTATAAGAACCTGCTGACCGTCTCCCACAGCAGCTGTCCTGTTCTGTCTTCCCGCCATTAGTGACTGAAGCTTTCTGTTGCTCCCTGTCCTGGTCAGCAGGTGACACTATCAGTGTCTGGATTCCCACCATCTAACAGGTGTGTGATGGCAGATCATTGTTGTCACTTGCATTTCCCTGATGACACCTGCTGCTGAACATCTTTTCATGTGCTTATTACCCATGAGTGTATCTTCTTGAGTTGTCCAGATTTTGGCCCATTTTTAAATAATCATTCTTAATATTTTTATTGTGAAACCCACCAGTCTTTCAAATGAATTTAAAACTTTTTCAGTATTATTTAGTGAAAGTTCTCATGTTGTCATATATCAACACTTACTACTCATCTTTCATATGTCATGAGAAACACCATTATAATATGCTTGGAAAATCCTCAGACCTATTCTCTAATGAGTGTCCATCATAATTTAAGGGGTATTTTCTCCACTCAAAAAAAAAAATCTATGGTTACAACCTACAATCATTATGTAGCAAAGCAAATCCTACTCCCACAATTTACATAGGCTGTGAGAAAATAACTCATTGTTCCTAATCCCTGTGACAAGGCACTTCAAGCACCCGCATCAAACACCCGTGTGAACAGCGGTATGGCACATGAGTGAGATAACATGGGCTGAATAACTTTGACACAGCTTGACCACGACTAAGGGAAACATAAAATCTATCAAAGCCTCAGCTAAATAATGTGTTAAGATTCACAAGAATGTGTTTCTCATATTATATAGAAAAGAACAGGCCATATAATCTCTTAGAAAAAGGAAAACTGCATCAATATTTTCATACTGAAAAACAGCATGCTCCCTGGGTATGTATGACATCAGGATATTCGGAAGGACCAGGAGTAGGTGCCGATGGCATTTCTGAACACGCAGCCTTACTATCCCCCAGGCCTAGCAGTCTGGACACTTTGCAGCACCATGGAAAAGGCATTACACAATCACAAAGGTACGTTACTGCAAACTCACCTGCCACGAGACTCACTTAGTCCATGGTAAGAGACAGCAATGACGCAGACAAGATCTTGTCAATTACTGATTAGATGCACCCAGCAAGAAATATTGTTACGTTAATACATCTCATGTACATGAAGCACCAGTTTCCAGAAGACTATCAGACACCTCCTGCCTGTTGTTGCTCAGCCTGAGAGTTCATTCCTCACCACTTTCAACGTTATACCCTGAAAGCCAAGGAAGATAAAAATAGAAGGGTGAGAGATCTGGTAAGAAAAATCCAGTTCCTTTCCTATCAAATGTATGTCTCTCAAGTTAAACACAGAGGAAGTAACAAACTTCAAAAGGTCCACTGAGTTCTCTGGAGCTTCCCATCCCAGCAGAACAACTTTTTTTTTTTTTCTTCCAAGAAGTAAATTTATTAAAACTTGAGACTAGACTTATCATATCATGAAATTTCTCTGATTATACTGTTCTTTTTTTTTTAATTTTTAATTTTTTCAGCGTAACAGTATTCATTGTTTTTGCACCACACCCAGTGCTCCATGCAATCCGTGCCCTCTGCAATACCCACCACCTGGATCCCCCAACCTCCCACCCCCCGCCCCTTCAAAACCCTCAGGTTGTTTTTCAGAGTCCATAGTCTCTCATGGTTCACCTCCCCTTCCAATTTCCCTCAACTCCCTTCTCCTCTCCAGCAGAACAACTTTTGCCTCTACTAGAGGATTAACGCCGGGGTGAGGGGCCAGATCCAGGCCTCGGGGCCCCATCAGAGAAGGCCAGGCCAGCCTCGCTGCCAGAGGCCACACTTCACATTTCTACCGTGCCTCTCCACATACTCCCCACGGATGATGCAAAGAGTGTGAGTGTGAACACGACTCAGGGAGCCCATCCAACCCCGCTAAAAGCCACCGAAAGAGACTCCACTGTGGGGTAACTTCATATACAGAAACGAACACATTTTCCTCTTTACCAGTGGCAATTATGATTAGCATGCCCTTCTTAGGCACAAAAGGAATAATGGTGTATCAGGGTTTATGCACAGTTCAAAATAAATTATAAATATTGGACCATTTCATTTTAAAATTATAGATTAACCGTGACTCCCCAAAGAAGATCGATTTCTTCATAAGGAAGTATAGTTTATAAAGCTGGAATGACGGTTAATTCAACTACAAAAACACATACACAAAAGCCCTACTTTTTCCTTCCCAACTTGCTTCGTTCATACAGTTGATTCTACCACACAAGTGTACTATCATCCTAGCACAGAGTAAAATACTGATAAAATGCTTTGGTTAGCAAACTGACTGCCGCTCCTTGACGACTGCATTGACTGCGGCATTTAGGTAGAGCTGAGAAGCACCATTCTGAGGCACAGTTTCCTTCTTCCTGTTTTGCGTCCCACAGTGATTATTAAAGGAAGGAATCTGGTCTGTAAAGGACTGTGTCATCCACTCCCCTTTTGGAATGTCCCCGAAAGTTGATTTTCTGCTGTCAGTTAGTCCTGCAGAAGGGAAGCTGCCAGGGCCTCTGTCGCACAGATTTTCTGCAAAAGCACCACCATAGACTGCTTCATAACCCGGGTCATATTTTTCTTCCTTAACAGCCATCCTCTCTGCATCCTCTTGGGCTAGATTCACTGCCTGAACGTCAGTGTTTCATTCAGTGCCTTCCAACAGATCTCTCACGTCTTTCAGCGTCATGTGCTTTGTGCTGGGCTCCGGGAAACTGAGCCCATCTCACACTGGATGACAGCATGACACAGCACGGACTTTCCGTGTCTGGGATCTTCTGTGGCTGAAGTCCTAATTCTAAATTTTTAACCTTAACTCCAAAAACTTTTTTACTAAAAATTTCATAAACACATTTTCCACTAGTGACTGCTATTTGTGGCTGATATCGCTGGGATTTCTGCACTAGAATACGTCCTCCTTCACACAATTCTTTACTGGAAAGAGCGTTGCTGCCTGGTGTCCTCCCCACCACAGGAGGAAATCCAACATCATATTTCCCTGGTAAAGCGGGATCATCAAGGGTTCAGCGGTTCCTCACTCCCGCCGGACAGAAGCAGACACTTCCAAAAACGGTTTCCAGCTCCAGGGTAATGATGCCCTTTGTAAACTGCCACTAGTCCTGGGTTTGTGCCCATAACCACAATGTTCAGATTGAACGTCACAATGTCCAGGAGGGTCTTGGTTGGAAGTTCAGCTTCTGCAACACCATTAAGATGGTCTACCTTTTTTTTTCCCCCCACTTTAAATGTGTCTGTAATTTTTCCTTCCTTTTTTTTTTTTTTTTTTTTTTTTTAATGTGCGGAATTGCCAGATTTTTGGCCTCATCAGCCTTCTGGGGTTCTACTGTTTTTTTTTTTTTGTTTTTTTTTTTGTTGTTGTTGTTGTTGTTCTGTTGCCCTGGGTTATCTTTTCCTTGCTTTTGGGGCCTCTTGTGCAGGTTCCGAGCAGGAGCGGGGAGCGGAACTTCTGCCGCATTTGCTGTTCCTTCCCCGCGGCCCTGTCAGGAGCTCCAGCCATCATTCGTGGACACCGGAATGTATAACAGCTTGAGCGGCTGAAGGGAAGAGCTGTGCGCGTTCTCCGCTTCCATTCCCCACCGCCGCGCCAGGGACAGCGGCTCCTGCCCGGCCCGCGAACGCGGGTCTCCGGAGTGGTGCAGGGAACCGCCGGCTGGACAACAATAACCAGAGCCCAGAGCTGGACATGGATGTTGGCAGAACCCAGCTAGGGGCTGACGCTCAAGCTCCTCCCCCGAGGTTCTAGGGCCCCTCCCACCTGCCAGCCCGACCCCCATTTTTGCTCACTTTTTAAACAAGTGCTTTTCTTATTGGTCCTCTTTGTAAGGGTTTTATGAGTGGTCTACTGCAAGTCCTTCATCAGATATGTGATTTGCAAATATTTTCTCCCAGGCTGTGGCCTGAGCTTGTTTCCTGATGTAACAGTGCACATCAGGACACAGGTGTATTTTTCTGGTAAGAGACATGACAAATGGCTGACTGTGCTGGGTTAGGGGTAAAGAACTTGGGTGAGGGGTGGATGAGGGGTTACCATGTGACTTCTTTTACTTTTGTGTATCTGTGAGTATCTCTGGAATTCTCCTGTACACGCGTGAATAAAGTTTTCAAAAAATACATTTCTTTAAAATCCCTAACACCTGACAGATCATCCTGAGACCATGACTGAAGATCAGGTTCTGATCTTCTACTTTGGGACCAATCATCTTTTCACTGAACTATTTTGCCTTTGAACTTCTATTTGTGAAACAGGTGGGTTACATCGTATGGGCAAATCCTCCCACTGAAATAGCTCAAAATGCCATATAACTTAGAAAAGCTTGAAAGCATAAAACTGGCATGCTACTATTAAATGAAACAATGAACACACTCTAAAAAGAAGGGAAAGGTCCTGCCTGACCCCCCCACAGAGCAGGGTCCTGAGACATGGAGCAAAGTCTCTATGAGTCCCCTGCCCAGAGCACAGAGGCAGACCCAGCCCTTCCAGCTCTGTGCCCTGAGAGGCTGACTTTCCTACTATCTCCTTCCCTTTTAAAGTGTAAATAAAGCCTTTACATTCTGGTTTTGATGTGTATGTATGATGTACAATATATATGATGTCACCTATACTCAGTGCGGAAAAATTATAAAATGGGAAAAGTGATAAAAGACAAAGTAAACAGAATATGATTCTCTCACCTGAGCCGTTCTGTTGCATTTGCTTCTGGTCTCTTATCTATCCTCCTGCTGCTGGAAGTCTCTCTCTCTCTCTAAGGTAAAGAGCACAGAGCTCAGGGGCCCCAGCCCTGCTCTCTCCAGATGCCATTTCCCCAGTCAGCTCCCTGTCACCCTCCTGAGGGGGCTGCCTCTCACTTCCTCCTCCACTCCCTCCCTGCTCCCTTCTCTGAGGTGATGAGCTCATTCTTTCCTTACTCATAAAAGAAGGACTCACAGAATACTGCACACTCCCTCCTACTCCCCATCCCAGGTCTGCACCTGTGTCCTCAGCTTCTAAGCAGTGATGGGGGAGGGGCCCTCCTGTCTCAGGCTGTCCCTCCATGTGGCCACACCTGGCTCCTCACTCACTTGCATCATGTACTTCCCCTCCCTCCTGGCTCAGCCATTCCTCCTACAAACATGCTGGGATGACTCCCATGCAGCCACGTAAAGCAAAACTAAATCAACCAAAGTAAAATCATCCCAAAGAAACAACACTTGATCCCATGACTCCTCCAACTCCTGCCCCATCTCTGTGGCCTCCGTGCAGAACTCATCCTGACCCATTATCTCACCCCCGATGTTGTCTTTGTAGCAAATGGATAGACACAGAGTTTTAAAAGTCAAATCCTTCTGCAACATTTGATATCAGGGGAGATGTCCCCAAGCTTCCATGTCCCCATTTCCTGTATCTCAGAGACCACTTGCATTAGTTCTTTTGGCTGATTCTCTGATTATTGCTTCTGTGCCTCTAGGTTCCCTGCTTCTCAGACTCCTTCTCTGGTCTTCCAGTTTATGCAGCAACTTCACTGAACTGGTTCCTCTTTCTCACTCTCCCATCTGCCCCATATAATTATTTGATGAGCTCAATGTGCAGTACTTGCATTATTATGACACATTAGTCACAACTGAATATTTTGTAGACTATGATTGTGCCCTTTCCTGAATCGACTTTGTTTTCCCCGGAGTAAATAAATATCTTATCCCTTCATTTATTTTTTTCTGTTGTGCTCCTTTAAATCCTTTCCCAGATCCCCCTGGGTAAACCTTCATGAACATATTCAAGCCCACCCAATCTTCTCCCTTCTTCATGTCTGTGCAGTCGCCTGGCCTGCAGCTCTCAGTCGTGCCCCATGGGGACAGGATGCCGTGCCCCTGGGGCAGAGCTGACATCCAGAACCCCTACAGCTCCTCCTGGGGGCCCTTGACCTCTCTCCTTCTGGCTCCTTATGTATGGGAATCCCATGTGCTCCCCTTGTTGGTTTTCTCCATCATTTGTCCCACCCTGTCTACTGGTGTCCTGTAGAAGGTGTCACTGAAAGTAGAACAGAAACTCTCACATCTGAGGAGATTTTAGGCTGCCCTCGCCCTGAGGCACACAGTGATGTGACAGAGACTCTGTGCCAGACAGAGTTGTCCTTGGGATTTCGGGGCCTTGCGTCATGTCTTCCAGTCCCCAGGCCTGTGTTGTTGCCTCTAGGAGTCTTCAGGGTGTCTGCCCTCCCACCCTTTCTGACATTTCACTGTGACGTGTCCTGGTGTGGGTCTCCTCTCCTCTGCTCTAGGTGAGAATTTGGGTGGGTCTCTCAACATGTGTGCTTATCCCTGTGAACTCAGAGAAATCTTCCTGAAATTGTTTTCCATTGTGTCCTATTCACTCTCCTTTTTAAAACAATTATTATTAACTTTTGGGAATCACTTGATTAAGAAACAAACAGGTCTTCTCTCCTGCTGCCATCATCTTCCTGATTGTACGACTTTGGGGAAGGACAACTATAATCATCCAATGTATCCATTCAATTATTCATTTCTGTTATCATATTGTTAGATTCCCAGAACTCTTTCCTGTTCTATGATCGTACAGCACTGTGTGGAGTTGTGTTTTTGTTTCACATCCATATGCCTGTTGCATCCTGTAGAAGTGACTGATCCTAGTGGTAAGGGCCTTGCTAGGTCTCCTGGTTTCTGCTTTCATGATATCATGACCTTTCTCCACACAGCACTCATCTCCAGAGCGAATTACGTTTTCCTCTGTCATTTCTGCTTCATGCTCATCTTCCAAATGACACTGCCTGTGTCCCGTCACCGGAGTGTCACCCTTGCTCTGCACTATAGCTCCAGAGGCCAGCTGATCCTGAGTCCCTGGAGGCTCCAAATGTCCACTGGATGATGGACTTTAGTGTGATTTGAGCAGGTGAGTTACATTGATCCTTAATGTCCTCCTGGGCTCTGAGCCCAACAGCATGCCATCACAGAACATTCTGGAACATTGCAACAGCTCGCTTGCATGGAGTGCACATCATACCCAATCCCTGATGGACAGGGGACAATGAAAAAGTCAACAAGTTCTCTGGGAGCAAACCTTCTGGGCTGAACCCTGACTCCACCACCTCCTTGTCTCTGAGTCTCCCTTTCCCTCTCTGTACGAAGGGATTCCCTAGGTGGTGCCTCCTGGGTTTGCTTTCATGGTGAACTTGACCCTCTGTGCAAATCACATGGTGAAAATCCCTGAAACATGTTAATTGTTCCATTCTTTTTTTTTTTTTTTTTAAGATCTTATTTATTTATTTGACAGACAGAGATCACAAGTAGGCAGAGAGGCAGGCAGAGAGAGAGAGGAAGGGAAGCAGGCTCCCCGCTGAGCAGAGAGCCCAATGCGGGGCTCGATCCTAGGACCCTGAGACCATGACCTGAGCCTAAGGCAGAGGCTTAAACCACTGAGCCATCCAGGCGCCCCAATTGTTCCATTCTTTATACTTCCCTTCATCATATTAATTAGTGCTTAGATAAGCTCTACGGAAGCTCTTGAAATTCCAAGTCAAAGGGCCTCTGCAGGGCGGGAGCAAGGGGATCACCCGGCGGGTACGGGGACGCAGGACCCTGGAGGAAGGCGCCTCTCCACGGCCCCCTGCCCCGCCCCAGCCTGTGCTCCCCCGTCGCTCCCCGCCTGCAGCCCTGCTCTCCCCCACTCGGTGTCCCTTCCCCTGCCCTCCCCGCCGCCTTCATCTGGTCCCCTGGCCCGCGCCGGGGGAGGGTCGGGCGGGGTCTCAGCCCTTCCGAGCCCGCAGGCTCCCACTCCCTGAGGTATTTCTACACCGGCGTGTCCCGGTCGGTCCGCGGGGAGCCCCGCTTCATCTCCGTGGGCTACGTGGACGACACGCAGTTCGTGCGGTTCGACAGCGACTCTGCCAGTTGGAGGGCTGAGCCGCGGGGGCTGTGGATGGAGCAGATGGAACAGATTTATTGGGACCGGCAGATTCAGATCTTCAAGGACAGCGCTCAGGCTTTCCGATGGAACCTGAACACCCTGCGGGGCTACTACAACCAGAGCGAGGCCGGTGAGCGACAGGGCCCGGGTCCACGTCAAGGCCCCCATTTTCCGATATCCGGGTCTCAGCGTCACCCCGAGTCTGAGGGACCCTCCCGCACCCCCGCCGCCGTCCCCCATCCTTAAGCCGGAAGAATCCGCGGGGACATTTAGGCGGTTTTAACTTTCAGTTTGGACTTAACCCCCTGCCTGTCGGGCTGGGCCAGGGTCTCACACCATCCAGCGCATGTACGGCTGTGACGTGGGACCCGACGGGCGCCTCCTCCGCGGGTACAGTCAGTTCGCCTACGACGGCGCGGATTACCTCGCCCTGAACGAGGACCTGCGCTCCTGGACCGCGGCGGACACGGCGGCGCAGATCTCCAGACGCAAGTGGGAGGCGGCCGGTGCGGCAGAGCTCTGCAGGACATACGCGGAGGTCACGTGCGTGGAGTTGCTCCGCAGGTACCTGGAGAACGGGAAGGAGACACTACTAGCGCGCAGGTACAAGGGGCCTCGGGGCCTCCCTGATCTCCCCTCCTCTAGGGCTGGCTTCCCACCAGGAAGGGAAAATGGACTCAGTGGCAGAAACCCCCCTCCTACGGGTGGGGAGACTGAGGTCCACCTGTGTGTTCTTGTTCCTACTAGAGAGTGACTCACCCAGAGGGCCGCTTTTCTCTAAAGGACAATGGCGGAATCCAGTCTTTCCCAGGAGACAGGTGGAGACCATCCCTGCAATAACCCATCAGCGGTTCCCTTTGACCCTAGCAGACACCCTGGGAACCATGGCTTACCTCTCAAGGCCTTTTTCTCCAATACGAACATCTTTGGATGCCTGACTGGGTGTTTTGAGTCATTCAACCCCCGCCACAGTCAGGACCATTAGTGTGCTCTCCCCCTTAAACCTACAGCCTCCTATCCTGGACTCTCTCCCTGAGTCTAGAACTTTCCAGGATTAGAAGAACCCAAGGGCTGGCTTGGTGATGGGTTTGTGCCTCTTCTATCAGAACCAATACCCAGTCCATCTCAGGATGGACTCACATGAATGCCATTTCAGTGGCCTATAAAGGTAAACCCAAATGTGGATTTCTGATTCTCTTCCTCAGAACCCCCGCTTACACACATGACCCGCCACCCCACCTCTGAAGGTAATGTCACCCTGAGGTGTTGGGCTCTGGGCTTCTACCCTGCGGAGATCACCCTGACCTGGTAGCGGGATGGAGAAGACCAGGATGCGAAGTGTGTGGAGACCAGGCCTTCAGGAGATGGAAACTTCCAGAAGTGGGTGGCTGTGGCGGTGTCTTCTGGACAGGAGTAGAGATACACATGCCAGGTGCAGCATGAGGGGCTGCCCAAGCCTGTTACCTTGAGATGGGGTAAGGAGGGTTTTGGGTCGAGCCTCTTCTCAGGGAAAGCAAAAGGCCTTCTGGAGAACTTCAGCAGGGCCAGGACACTTACCAGAGCTCTGGACCCCTCACCTTCTCTCCATTTCCAGATCCACCTCCTCGCACCATCCCCATCACGTGGATCATTGCTGGTCTGGTTCTCCTAGTGGTCACTGCAGTGATTGGAGCTGTGATCTGGTGGAAGAAGTGCTCAGGTAAGGAATGGAGTGGGGTGGGGGATCTCAGGTTTCTTGTCCCACTGGGGGATTTCCTAGGTAGCAGACTGCCCTGCCTTGTTACTGGGAAGTACCATCCTCACAAATGGACTTGCCTGCTCTGGAGCTGATCATGAACACTCACTCTGTAGCAAACGCTTGTGAAAATGAAGGACACATTTTCATGTTGTTAATTCTGGTGATGGGGACCTCATGCCCAGCAGTCACAGGATGGAGAAGGAAGTCCCTGCTGAGGACAGAACGCCAGCAAGTCAGGTGACCCAGTGACTCCTCACCTCATTTTTCATGTTTTCTGTCATGTCCTGGGTGTTCAGTTACAATTCTGGAAACTTCATTTACAACCAGGACTGGGAGCTTCCTCTAGGATCTCATGACCCAGCCCTGTCCCAGGCCTCTGACATGATATTTTTTCCCCAAAGGAGAAAAAGGACCAGGCTACTCTCATGCTGCACATAAGTATGGAGGGGTGATCCCTGAGCCCCTGGGATAGTGTAGACAGGACCCCATGGGGAGGTCACCTCCCCATAGTGCCTCCTTTAGTCTCTTCTCCTGTGGGCTCTGACCATGTCCTGTTTGTTCTCCCTTAGGCGTTGACAATGCCCAGGGATCTGATGTGTCTCTCCAGACCCTGGAGACCCTGACATGGGGAAGGGTTGAGGCATTAGGGACACTTTGCGCATGAGGGGAGCTTCTGAGATGTCCCCACTTATGGGACTGACCTCAATTTGTACATTCTTTTTTTTCACAGTGTGAGACCAGCTGCCTTGTAGGGACTAAGAGATGGAAGATTTCTTCACACCCCCACTTGGTGACATCAGCAACCCCTGACTTCTCTTTGTGCAGATATCAGAACGTGTCTGTGTTCCTTTGAGCATATATGAGGACATGAGTAGATTTGCCCACCAGACCCCTCCCTATTCTGATTTTATTCTCCTTTCTGATGTGCTTTCTTGTTCCAGCAGAGGCAGGGCTGGACCATCACCATCCCTGTCTTTATTTCATGTTGGGCTGAGTACAAATGACTTACTTCTGTATTGAAAATGAGAACCCAGACATGAGTTGTGTTTCCTAATTCTTCCATATGGGGTAATAAAAGAGGAGATTTGTAAAATTAAGACCGCAAATAAATGGAAGCGCTGAGAACCTTCTAGAATCCATGCGTTTACTGGGCTGAGTCTGTTGTGGGTGGGGGCAGAAGGCTGTGAGGAGACAAGCGGGGTGGGGCCTGTGCCCAGTGTGTGCTCAGTGCATCATGGGGGTGACGTGCTCACCCCTCAGCTGGGTCATCTCTCTGCTCTGTGTCCTTGACCCTTGTGTGGAAGCTTGTCTCACTAGGAGCTGTGATCACAGGGACTTGGATATCACCTGTCACCGGGAACTTGTGCAGCAAGAGCTTCCTGGGACTGGGTCAGCCTCACGTCAAGCCTGGGTTGGGTCATAGCCTCCATTCCGGGGTGGGCTTTTTTCATTGTTTCTCTAGAGCATCAGGCCGGCTCTTGCTCTTGTGTGCAAGTTCTTGACCCATTCTCCCTGGGTGACCCTATCAGTTATAGCAGCAGGTGTCCTTTGCGCTGTGTTCCCACAGGCCTAGGTTGTCCCCTGCACACAGGCGTTTCTGTGGTAAGGAGAGATGAACTTTCAGATTCATCCATCTCTTCCCCTCACTCTAGACCTGTTTTCTAGATTATTCTTAGGATTCTGGAGATAGAGAAGGAATCTGAAAGTTTCTCAGCCTTAATAAACATCAGTTAGTTTCTCTCTCCAGCTGCTCTGCCCTCTCTCCCCTACCCTAGTTCAATGATCCTAGTGCTGGCATGGATCCAAGTTCATGGATCTATAAACCAGAGTCTAATGTAGATCTCTTTGTGGTTGGAGAAAGGACTCAAAAAGCCTGAGTACAGTGTTTCAGGAGAGAGAACTCTGTGTGCTGTGCTGTGCAGGAGAGATGGTGTGGGGGTAGGGGCTGAGCAGAGAGACGGAGGGGAGGGCAGCCCTGTGAGGGGAGAGAGGCAGCACTGATGATGAGGTGGGAACATGTAGGGTGGGAGCTGCCTCGGAACAGCTGAGCCAGAGACTTATCTAGAAGAAGGAGTCCTCTATTTGCTCATTCATTCAACTGATAACTGTCATGTGCCTCACACAGGACATGCTATGTTTACATCTGAGACAATTCAGTGAGACTAAGAAGAGGGAAAATGTGCTGGTCTTGTGGAGAGTATTTCTAGTGTAAGAGGCAGACTATACTTGACCCTCTGACAATGTGGGGATGGGGCAGTGACCCCCTCGTGCAGTCAGAAATCCAAGTATAAATTTTGACTCCCTCCAAACGTAAGAACTAATAGCATACTGTTGCTGGAAGTCTCACTGATAATGTGAAGAGTCACTTAACATACGTTTATGTTACATGTAGAAAACAGTCTTCTAACAATGAATGAAGCTGCAAAAATTAGTCGGAAACCACAAAGATGAGGAAATGCATGGACAGGACTTACTGTAAAAAGTCCGCAAACAGGTGCACACGCACCGTGCAAACCAGTGTCATTTGGAGGTGAACTGTGTATTGTGTAAGCGCAGTAATAAGGAAAGTGTTTAAGTTGGAAGTTGGCAGGAGCTGTGAGGAAGGAGACCCAGTTAGCACCTGTGCTGAGACAGGGACGATGGCTCCTTTACTCCATTACAGATGGACTTTGCAGCATTTCCTAACCACCTAATCTGGGCGATGAGTAGGAGGAATCAGGAGGGCATCCAGTATTTCAGACTGCAAGTAGAAATGTGCAGTGCCTTCTTTGGATATGGGGAAGATTCTGGAAGCAGGACACTGGGGGAAGCAGCATCACAGGCAACCAGTTTGGGCATGTGGAATCTGAGACGTCCACTAGAAATGCAGTAAGGTTGGCAGTTGGATACAGAGTGCAGGGGAGGAGAAATATCTGGATTGGAGAAATATATGTGGGAGGTGACAGCATATACATGATGATTAGAGCCTTCAGCAGAGATGAGGTCACCAGGGGGCCAAGGCCCATAGAAGAGAAAGGAACAGGACCAAACCCTGGACTCCTCAGGGCTAAGCAGGCTGACCAGAGCGCACACCCAGAGTGCACTGCACAGTCTGGTTCTGCATCTAGAAGTCACAGAGACCAGGGAGGCCCAGCCTTCAGTGTGCACAGAAATTTCCTAGACTATGAAGATTTAGACAGTCAGGGATAGAGTGTGAGATGCTGGGTTGATAACAAGGTCGGTGCTGCTGCTGCTGGTCTTCAGATCCCACACGGAGTAGCGAGCACAGGAAGCAGGATCCCCACATGGCCGTGCATCAGCCTCTCCTGTAGGGCTTATCGCCTAAGTGATTCCTGGACCCACGCCCAACATTCTAAGATGGTGGGACTGGGGAGAGGCCTGAGTATTTGGTAACAAAGCCACAGGCAATCCTGTGACTCCACCAGATAGAGAACACTGAAGTCATTGATGAGAGCCCTCATTGTGAGAAGGGGTTTTACAGACACATTTAAATGGTTTTTGCGGGACATCTGGGTGTCCCACTCTTGGTTTCAGCTCAGGTCATGACCTTGGGGTCATGAGAACTAGCCCATGTTGGGCACTGCATCCAGTATAGAGTCTGCTTGAAACGTCTTCCCTCTCCCTCTACCCCTCCCTGCCTCTCTCGCGCATGCTCTCTCTCTCACTCTCTCTCTCTCTTTCTGTCTCAAATAAATAAGTAAAATCTTCAGATGTCTTTTTGTAGGGAGAAAAATGCAAGACATGCTGGGAGATGCATTTTTTTCTCTCCTGTGGGGCACAGTCAGGTGGCAGACTGAGGAAGTTTTCATCTCAATATAAAAGGTCTGAGTTACCGAGAGTGTAGATCTTAAATGTCTGCATCACACAAAAGGAAATGGTAACTATGTGACATGATGCACGTGTTAGCTAATGTTATGGTTGTAATCACTGTGCAGTACAGAAATGTATCGATCATCAGGTTGTACCCTAAACTCACACAATGGTGTATGTCAATCATATCTCTATAAAATTGGTAA